ACATTGATTTGCTGTTCCACTAATTTATGCATTCATTGGTTGATTCTATTATGTACCCTGACCAGAGACAACCCACAGTCTTGGCATATCTGGACAGTGCTCTAACCACCTAAGCTACCTGGCCAGGGCCACTTTTCTTTTTAATTGTGGCAATAAAACAAAATTTACCTAACAGTTACCAAGTGTAGATAATAGATAATTCATAGATAGATAATTCACTTTTAAAAAAAATAACTTTTCTTTTTCCCTGGCCTGCGCGGCTCAGTTGGGCATTGTGCTGCAAACTGGAAGGTTGTGGGTTCATTTCCTGGTCAGGGCACATGCCTAGACTGTGGATTTGGTTCCTAGTTGGGGCATATAAGAGGCGACCAATTGATGTTTCTCTCCTCCTTTTTTCCCTCCTTTCCCCTCTCTCCAAACCCTCTCTCTCTTCCTCTTTCTCTCAAAGCACTATAAAATGTCCTCAGATTTAATAAAAAGAAACTTCTATTTTTATAGAAGCAGTAATTTACATTGTAAAAATTTAGAAAAATATAAGTAAAATTTAAAAAGTCGATATTCTCAATACAAGATCACCATCTTTAGTTCATATCTTTTGGTCTTTCTGTGCATGACACACAGAACATGTACCTGTACCTGTGATATTTTAAAATCAAAATGAGGTCATTCTGATGTATAACTTTTTATTTTTTAAATATATTTTATTGATTATGCCATTACAGTTGTCCTATTCCCCCCCTTCATTCCCCTCCACCCTGCACACCCCTCCCCCGCCATTCCCCCCCTTTAGTTTATGACCACGTGTCTCAAGTTCTTTAGATTCTATATTTCCCCTACTATTCTTGCCCTCCCCCCTATCTATTTTCTATCTATGGTCTATGCTACTTATTTTCTGTACTTTCTCCCCCCTTCTTCTCCCACTCCCCTGTTGCTAACCCTTCATATGATCTTCATTTCTATGGTTCACTCCTGATCTAGCTGTCCTCTTAATTTGCTTTTGTTTTAGGTGTGGTTGTTGCTAACTGTGAGTTTGCTGTCCTTTCACTGTTCATCTTTTTTATCTTCTTCTTTTTCTTGGATAAGACCCTTTAACATTTCATATAATAATGGCTTGGTGATGATGAACTCCTTGAATTTGATCTTATCTGAGAAGCACTTTATCTGCCCTTCCATTCTAAATGAAAGCTTTGCTGGATAGAGCAATCTTAGTTGTAGGTCTTTGGATTTCATGACTTGGAATACTTCTTTCCAGCCCCTTCTTGCCTGTAAGGTCTCTTTTGAGAAATCAGCTGACAGTCTGATGGGAACTCCTTTGTAGGTGACTGTCCCCTTAGCTCTTGCTGCTTCTAGGATTCTCTCCTTCATTTTCATCTTGGCTAATGTAATGATGATGTGCCTTGGTGTGTTCCTTCTTGGGTCCAACTTCTTTGAGACTCTGAGCTTCCTGGATTTCCTGGAAGTCTATTTCCTTTGCCAGATTGGGGAACTTCTCCTTTATTATTTGTGGAAATAACTTTTCCACTTGTTGCTCTTCCTCTTCCCCTTCTGCTACCCCTATAATTCGGATATTGAAACTATTAATGATGTCCTGGAGGTTCCTCAGCCTCTCCTCATTTTTTTGAATTCTTGTTTCTTCATATTTTTCTGTTTGGTCATTTTTTTCTTCCTTCTGGTCTCCTCCCTTGATTTGAGTCCCAGTTTCCTTTCCATCACTATTGCTTTCCTGTGCATTTCCCTTCATTTCAATTAGTTTAGCCTTCATACGTTCCTCTAATTTGTGACTAAAATCAACCAGTTCTATGAGCATTCTGATCACCAGTGTTTTGAACTGTGCCTCTGATAGGTTGGCAATTTCTTGTTCGCTTAGATTTACCAGCTCTGGGGCTCTGAGTTTTTCCTGAGCCATGTTTTGATCTGTTGACACCTGTTACATATGAGGATAGGAGCCTTAGTTGCTCACCAGTTTGTGATGCTGTATGTGGGGGTGGGGTCAGAGAGGGAGCAATAGCGGTCCCCTCTGCTCCTTCCCGCCCCTGGGGCCTGCCTGGTCTGTCTGTTTGCTCCTTCTCTGGTTTATCTGCTCGCAAATGTGTGACTGCGGTCAGCCTGCCGCCTTGCACCTTCACTGGGTCCGCCTTTCGCTACCCCACACCTGGGATCCGCCCTTGGCTGCCTGTGTACCTGGTTCAGGGGATCTTTTTTGCCCAATCTGCTCTGCTGCTGGCTCCACCCCTCTTACCGGTCTGGGTGAGTGGTTTGTTGTTGTCAGATTCCCATATTGTTCAATTTTCTGTGGTTTGGCTGCATTTTTGTTGCTAAAACTGTTGTTTTTAGAGTTGGTTGTGTGAGAGGGTACAGTGTTTCCACCTACGCCTCCATCTTGGCAGAACCTGTATAATTTTTTAAATGCTAATCTCTTCCTTTGAGAAATTTTCATATAGTCTAATTCTCAAACCATATTCACAGTTTGCCAAGTGACCCAGATATGTCATTCACAACCATTTTCTTAAAGATTTCATTTACTTAATTATAGAGAGAGGGGAAGGGAGGGAGAAAGAGAAGTAGGGAAACATTGACCCGCAACCTGGGCATATACCCTGACTGGGAACTGAACCAGCAGTCTTGGTTTGCAGGCAGCCACTCAATCCACTGAGCCACATCAGCCAGGGCTAAAATTTATTTTTAATTATAGTACTCAAACTTTTAGCTGGGAGCAAAGGCAGGGGGGAAAAGGAACAACTGTAATAGCATAACCAATAAACTACATTAAAAAAAAAACCCTTTTAGGGCACTTGTTGAAGAGTTTGGGTCAGTTGACCTTCAGAGATGTGTAGCCATGTAAAGGGATGGATTAGAAGGAATGGTCTACTAATTTGGTGAGAAATGATAACTGATAGTGATGATGAAGATGGAGAAATGGAAATGGATTTGAAATACACATCATAGCTTTAACTAACAGGATTTGATGATTGATTAGATTGGGGAGTGAGAAGAAGGGAAGATGGGTTTCTGACTATCCTTGGGGTGGGTGTGGTACCCTTCAATAGGAATGGCTAAATTGGAGGAAAAGGTTACAGGGAAAATGAGTAGTAAGTTTCAGACAAGTTGCATATAAGATGATGTCTTGTAGGCTATTGGATATGTGGATCTGAAACCTAGAAATGCTTAAAATCTTACGCATATTTTGCCCTGGCTGGGGTGGCTCAGTGGATTGAGCACTGTGAACCAAAGGGTTGCGGGCTTGATTCCCCACTGGGACAAGTACCTCGGTAGCAGGCCACATGCCTTGGTTGTAGGCCACATCCCCAGTTGTGGGTGCACAAGAAGCAACCACACATTGATGTTTCTTCCTCCCTTCCCCGCACTCTGAAAATAAATAAATAGAATATTTAAAACAAGTTTTTGTCCATGTTTTGAAATGTGGAATGGGTTTAAGAAATTTTATATATGTTTTTAATTTTTTTAATGGTACTGGTAAAATTAGACATCTATTTTGGGGGAGGGGTTAGATTTTCATCTACCATACTCAGAAACCAGCTTAACAATCTAAACATTAATATATATAATTATAAAAGTACCAGAAGAAAATAATTTAGAAGCTATAAGGAAAAATGTTGGAAGATTTCATTACATAAAAATGTTAAACTTTGGTACAATAAAAATCACCTTAAAATTAGAAAATAAGTCACAGAAGGGGAGAAAATATCTGAAAAGTACATAATATGTTGAGTTAATATTTGCAGCATGCAGGATAATGGCTCCCTCAAGATGTTTACGTTCTAATCCCTGGAACCTGTGAATATGTTATTTTACATAGAAAAGGGAATTAAGGCTTTAAATGGAAGTAAGGTTGCTAACCAACTGACTTTAAGATAGGAATAGTATTTTGGATTATCTAGGTGAGCCCAGTGGTTTGTTTTGTTTTTTTTACAAGTGGTTTTTTTTTTTAGACTTTATTTACTTTTTAGAGAGAGGGGGAAAGGAGGGAGAAAGAGAGAGAAGCATCATTGTGCAAGAGATTACATCAATTGGTTGCCTCTCACATGCCCCCCACTGGAGAACCTGGCCTGCAGCCCAGGCATGTACCCTGACTGACTGGGACTTGAACCTGTGATTTGATTCACAGGCCATCACTCAATCCACTGAGTTACACCAGCTAGGGCTACAAGTGTTTTTAAAAGTGGAAGAGGCAAGACTTTTCTAACTTTGAAGATGGAGTAAGCGGGCCAGTAGCCAAGGAATGTCAGCAGCCTCTAGAAGGCAGGAAAGACAAAGAATGACCCTTACCCTGTGCTTACAGAAAAGAATGCAGCCCTGTCAACCTCTTGATTTTATTTTTCTGACAAATATGTGTTATTTTGTGGTAATTTGTTATGGCAGCAGTAGAAAACTAATACCATATCCAACAAATAGGAGGTAAAGGATATGAACAGGCAAATCTAGAAGAAATCCAGATGGCCACTAAACATGGAAAGGCACTTGTTTCTGTAGCCTTGGGAATAAATGGTTGTTTAGCTGACTGAGGGAGAGAAAGAGCTGAGGGCTGAGAAGAAATGGTTGGAAAGATACGTGGAAAACTTGTGGGTCAAGTGGGTGAAGAAGGGGACCATACCCAGGCATACACTGGGTCTGCCTAGACCCAGACCAATTGCACTCATGTGAACAGATGTATTTTTCTTCTGTTCACTTGCCGTGAAGTTTTTCTCAAGGGCAGCACTGGACTGTGCTCCCCTGGCCTTTCAGCCTCACCCTGTAGAAAGGAATGTGTGGACCCAAGACTGATCATCTGTGAGGGGCTTGAAAAGAAATTCAAGCCTGCAGAATCCTGAGTTCTTTAGGAAACTGCCTGATTCTAAGGGAATATAGCTACTGCAGAAGTTAATAGGGAACTGACATTCCCAGTATGCCAGACTCCAAAGAAGAAACAAGTGGGATTTGTCTAGTTCAGCTAGTTTATTAGGGTTTCCTCTGCCTGCTTCTTCAGCCCTCAGGTGCCAGTACTACCAGCTGTTCCTCATGTTGACTGAATTTGGTGGGCCTGGCCCACGGCTACTTAGACACTTGGCTAGCATCTTTCGAATACCCCTGGTAAGGGGACCCTGAGGTGTAGGGGAAGAGAAGTGCTTCTCCATATGGGCCCAGGGGCAGTGTGTACAGTGCCAAGGGATCAGGATATAACCAGCTCTCAGCTCTGCTTCTCGCTCATCTTGGGGACCTGTGGGCATGGAGTAAAGCTGCTGGGGGAGAGCAGTGTGTATGGAGCTCTGGTTCCTTTGGGAAAGTCGGTTTACAGGGGCCTCCACTGGCCTTCCAGCCTGGGCCGGGTGGCTCTTCCCCATAACTGTGGATGACCCCAATCTTGTATCCCCTCTTCTGTGGTCTCCTGCGTTGGATTTCCTGGGGCTGTCTTTCTCTCTGGATGAAAATTGTGCTGAAGCTTTGTCTTGCCTGTTGCCTGAGACTAGAACCTCAGGGTATGAGGCCTCTCTCAAGCCTGGGCAGTTTTCATTAGCCTCCATGTGAACACATGGTCCCTGAGGTGAGACCTGGGCCACCATCTTTGCCTTCACTCTTTCCTCTCTCTGAGACCTTTGTGTTGCCCTACCAGACCCACGTGGCTGAGGATGGGAAAAGGAGTGGGAGTGAAAACAGTGGACAGGCTGAATTACTGTGCTCTCTGCTTTTGGGGGATGACAGCTTGAAGAGTAAGGACACAGGTCTGGGTGATGAGTCTGTTGTGAGGGGTAGGAAGAGAGTCTCCAAGTGCCTGGAGTTGAGGAGCTCAGGGCAGGGGAGCTGACAAATGATTGACTTGGGCCAGGGGATCTGGAAGCAGGGCTCAGCTGCAGTTTCTTCAGCCCGAGTTCTAATTCTCTACTCCAGTGCCAGACCTGGATCCCAGAGTGTGTGGATGCCTCTGGGACAGCCTTTCCCTGGGAGGGTGGGATCGCTCCCTTAACTCCTGGGAACAGCTCTTCTTTGGGTGGGCCAGGCTGGTTGGACTCAGTCTTCAGAGCTTCAGCTAGGGTGGGAGGCCAGGGTATTGGCTGCAGGGGATCTGCTGCTGGAGGGCTGGGACCCTGGGGGATCTCTCTTTGTCGCACATTCCTCCTCACAAACCTAAGGGCCATGTGTGGATCTGGTACTTGAGCAGAGAGTGTGTTAGGAGTTGGGGCTGGGAGCTCAGTCACCCAGCTGTTCTCTCTCTGCTCCACTGCCTCCTCCTCAGTCTTACAGTTGCCTTGGTCTCCAATAGGCTCACGTGAGTGAGACTTTGACATAGAATTTGGAGGTGGGCTGGGGCCCCAGAATGGAGACACAGGAGCACAACAGATTTTTTTCTGCTTCATGCACCCCTCAACAGATTCAGAGTCAGAAAAGACTCCCAAAGGTCTAGCTCCATGTGGCTCTTGGGGTAAGCTGGGAGCTGGGATCTCAGAGGACCAGGAATTTTTTTTCCTTTGTGATTCCCCATAGCTAGCCTCAGAATCAGACAGGACCCCCATGGGGCTAACTCTGAAGGGTTCTAGTGTGAGAGTTGGATATGGACTGAGGGCCAGAGATGGGGGATCAGAAGCCCAGGAATTCCTGGAATGTTCAATGACCTTCCATGCAGTTTCTGATCTAGTGTGGCCTCCCATAGAATTGATTCTGTGAGGCTCAGGAATGGGAGCTAGAGACTGACCATAGTCAGGGGCTATAGACTTAGAGGTCCAGAGGTTCTCTAGTTGCCCTGTAGTCTCCCACAAAGCCTTGGACTTAGACAGGACTTCCTGGGGCCCCATTCCTAAAGACTCTATCAGGCAGGCTGAGGGGAGACTAGCAGGTAAAACCGAGTCTGCAGAGACCCAAAGATTTTCTCTATTTTGCATGCCTTTCCATGGAGTCTCAGATCTTGATGGGACACATTTAGAGCTGTCCAAGGCTGGGGGCTCAAAGATCTGTGGGTTTTCTGAGTTTTCTCTGCATTCCCAGAGGCACTTGCATCCAGGTGGATCTCCCAGGGCACCACCTCTTGGGAGTTCTGTCAGGGGGACTGACGGAGGACAGGGGGCTGGCATTGGAGGCCCAGAGGCTTGAGGCTTCTGTTTGTGCCCCATGGTTCCCAAGAAGTCCTTAGGTATAGAAGGTTCTCCTTCAGAGCTGACTTTCTGGGATTTTGACAAAGAATCCGGGGCTTGGTAAGAGGCTGGCATTGGGGGCTCAGAGGCTTTCAGACTCTTTCTATGTCCTGTGGTTCTCCACTGAGTCTCACATCCAGATGAAACTCCCAGGGGTCTAGTTTCTTGAGGCTCTGTTATGGGAGCTGCAGACTGGTAAGGGATCTGGACTGGAGGCTCAGAGATATGAGCATTCTCTCTTTGCCTTGTGGTTTCCTGGAGGTCATCAGATCTATACAGGCCTCCTATAGGGCTAACCCCCTGGAGAGAGGCTGGGGTTGGGCTGGGAACTGGGACTGCTGGCTCAGAGGCTGTGGAGTCCTCATTTTGCACCATGGTTCTCCGTGGGGAATCAGACCTAGTCAGGACTCCCAGCAGGTTAGAGGGATACAGCAGAGAGGCAGAGAGTAAATCTGGAATGTGTTGTGGGAGGCCAGGATCCCATGGCATCCCCCACCACACCTCAGATGAGGGAAAATACTTGGAGGGTTTTGTTCTTTGGAGTTCAGGCTGTGGATGCAGGGCTTGATCCTCAGAGACCCAAGGGACTGCTCTCTGCCACATAAGCCACTGTGTAGGTGCCTGAACACCAGAATGGAATTTTGTATTATCTATGGGAAAGGGTTTAAGATGGAGGGGTAGTGATGGAACAGAAGGGGAAGGTGGAGGGGGAAGTTGCTGAGGATCGGGGGCCAACTCTTCCAGGTTTTTCATAGTGTGCACTTTATGGATAGGAAGTGGGGTTGGGGAGCAATATTGAGAAGACTGCAGGTTGGACCTATGCAGGAAGGAAAACTTGTTGAAGCAGACAGAAGGACCAACAGGTAACTTCAGAGGAAAGGGGCCATCCGAGTTCAGGATGGTGGCCTCTAAGGACTCACTGTGCAGAGAAGGGAGTCCCCAGTAGAGCTGGCTTTTCCTCTGCTGTAGATGACTCCCTGATGCTGCCTTACGCCTCACAGGCAAGTTGGTCAGAATCTGCAATGTGGGGAATGATCTGGAAGGGCTTGGGGTCTGCGTGAGTACTAGCTCTCGTGTCCCTATGATCTTGTGTTGGCTTTCAGAATCATAGGATGGTTGGGATGGGGCTGTAGTAGCTTGCTGTTCAACAGGAATTTCTTTGGGAAGAGAACATGGTTTCAGTGGATCCAGGAATATCACCTCTTCTTTCTCCTCTTTTCCTTCTTCCTCTTCCTCTGACCTCCACCTCCACAGATGACGAAGGAAAGCCACAAGGTACAGAAGTAGTAGGCCCTGGGAGAGGGAGAAAGACATTATCAAGTATGAAGCTTTTTCAGACACACAAGGTGTGTCATGAAGCTTAGTCTCCGTTCCACATTCAGAGTGAGCGGTTGGTTACTCTGTCCCCACATCTGTGGTCAACAGTCACTTATCCATCCAATTTAACAGCCATTGCCCAGCCTGCATGTGGAGATTGGCATTCCTTACATAATCCTACATCTGTGGTAAGTGATCACTCACCTGCCTTCAAATCTAGTGTCAGTGGTCAGTCACCCAGCCTCACATTTAAGGCTTATAGTCTACTCACTTGGGCTCACATCCATTTCAATGATTTCTCACCAAAATTTACATGCGGTGCCAGTAGTCATTTAGCCCTCTACATGCCTATGTCACCCACCTTGCCTTGCTTCATGTCCCCGGAGTACCAGGGCCAAAGATGTCTCAAATTCCCAAGCTGCCACCACCTCCGGATCTGCCAAATTATGAACAGGCATAGTGTCACTATGTTCCCTGTACTCTGGAGGCAGCTGCTGCCACAGTGTCTACAGGCCAGGGCGTGGGTCAGCTGGCTCCAGAGAAGCCCCTTGATATCATCAGTCCTAAGGATGTCCCCTAGCAGCCAGTCCATTTTCCTCCACTTAGTGGCAGTTTATCCTGATGTCATCACTGCATCACAGAACAAAGAACTCCCATGCCTCACATGCCTAACAGCCTTCTCCCTGAATTTAGGGTAAAAAATTGCCACCATAAGACAATTCCTACTTCACACAGTGAAACATGGGTGATTCCCTTTTGTCTTGACTGCCAAGGTCAGAATTATGCTTCAGGCATTGTGAATAAGGACATGGATTCTAACATCAAAATGGCCTCATTCAAACACCAGCTCTGCCACATTCTACCTATGAAATCTTAGTCAAATTTAAGCTTTCAGTGCCTCAGTTTTTTTCACCTGTAAATGAGAATAATATTATTTATTACCATGCAGGGTTTTTTTGAGAATTAAGTGAATAAATTTATATGCTTAGAAATGTATGCTACATTAAAATTTTATTTCTTTTAAGGCTCCTGATTACAGGCCTCATTTTATTTTTAATGGATAGAATCTTCTCCCTCTTTTTTTTTAATCTCTTATCAGTTGCAAACTATCTTATTTGACTTTAGGTTGCCTGAGATATTTTTGGCAAGCATTCATATTAAGGGTAACATATAAGTCAAATGTGCTTGACCATTTTTCTTCCCTAAAACCACCACTTACTCTATGTCAACTCCTATTTTCAGGGCCAACCTTGAATCTTTGCCTTCCCAGCACAAGTCAATGCCTCTATTCTAACCCCACCCCCCTCAGACTCCAGCTTAGTCTGGTAGAAAGAGCACTGAACTAAAATTGAGGAGACCTGGGTTCTCTAGTTCTGTCACTGATTGGCCATGTGATCTTGGGTAAGAAAAGTTTCTCCATTGCTTCCCTAAATTGGATTAATTAGTTCATTCAATATATATTTATTTTAAAAAAGATTTTATTTATTTATTTTTAGAGAGAGGGGAAGGGAAGGAGAAAGAAAAGGAGAGAAATATCAATATGTGGTTGCCTCTCGCATGCCCTCTACTGGGGACATGGCCCGCAACCCAGGCATGTGCCCTGACTGGGAATCGAACTGGCAACCCTTTGGTTCACAGCCTGTGCTCAATCCACTGAGGTACACCAGCCAGGGCTCAATATATATTTATTGATCAGGTATTACAATCAGTCTTGAGTAGACAGAAGTAAGACAGAGACTCTAGAGTAAGTCCTGTTTCAGTGGGGAAAGTAGTCAAGTAATAGACAATAAAATAGAGAGATGCAAAATGGAGGCAGAAAAGGTTACTTAACCAGGCTGGAGAAGAGGATAGTTTTTCAGGGGCTATGTCCCAGAAGAGAAGATTAATGCTTGGTTTGAGGAACCAAGAAAATGACAGTGTAGGAAGTGAGAGAGGACAGTGCAAGCAGGAGGAATAGCCTGCATAAAGGTGCTAGGGCAGAGAAAATATGCCCCATTAGGAAAAATGAAGGTATTTCAATGTAGTGGGGATTGAGAAAGCAATAGGAGATAGATCTGGAAAGACAAGATCACAAAGGGCCCTGAATACCAGTCTAATAAGTTAAAATTTATTTTGAAGGTAATGGTAAATCATTGAAAAATTTTGAGCAGGGAAGTGACAAAATTGAGTTTGTGTATTGTAGAGAACACTCTGGCTATAGTGAGAGTAAAGAGATTAGAGATTGAAGGTAAGAGATTAGTTAGGCAACTCCTGCTTTAATTTAGGCAAAATAAAAGATGAGGCCTGAAGATGGCAGTGATGGTGGGAATAGAGAATAATGGGTTCAAGTAGAATTCCACAGATGAAACTGATTTGACTTTGTAACCAATGGGATGGGGTGGAGGGAGCGGGAGTTGAGAATGACTCCAGGGATTCTGGGAGGAAACTGGATGTGTATGTTAGGGCCATTTTACTGAGACAGGGAACACAGACCTGGATACCATTATAGGGTTTGTGCCGAATTGATGGGTTACATTTTATTTTATTTTATTTATTTTATTTTATTATCTTTTCCTTTTCTTTTTTTTTGATTTTTAAATTTATTTATAGACAGAGGGGAAGGGAGGAAGAAAGAAAGGGAGAGAAACATCCATGTGTAGTTGCCTCTCACATGCCCCCTACTGGGGACCTGGCCTGTAACCCAGGCATGTGTCCTGACTGAGAATCAAACTGGTGACCCTTTGGTTTGCAGGCCAGCACTCAATCCACTGAGCCACACCAGCCAGAGCTGATGGGTTCCATTTTAGACATTTAAATTTCAGGTCCCTGTGACAAGGAAAAGCTAGGCAGGAGGCAATTAGATACATAGATTTGAAGCTTGGGAGAGTGGTCTATGGGGAAGATGTAAATTTGCCAGCTAGCAGCATATATGTAGCAGCTGAAACCATAAAAAGGCTTAAGATGACCAACTGATATGTAAAATTTAGCCCAGACAATGTGGCCAGTAGTTTTTTTTTAATTACAAATTTTAATTAGTAGCCAACTAAAACTACAATAGGTTGGCTAAGTAGCCAACTATAAACTTAATAAGTTGTACATAATAATCAACATTTCAAGCTTAAAACCTGGCAACATTGGATTCCCCTTCCTACCAAGTAAAGATCACTTGCATCTCTTTGCCACACTAGAAGAAGAGTTGTCTTGGGCCACACATTAAATACATTGTGACATGTAATCACAAAAAAAATCTCATAATGTTTTGAGTAAATTTATGGTTTTGTGTTGGGCCATGTTCACAGACATCCTGGGCTGCATGTGGCCTGTGGGCACCCTGACTTAGAGTTAAGTAGCAGTTGCTCCCTTTGAAGTGGACACGTGCTCTCCAATTCACCGTGGTTCTTACCATATTTTCATTGTTAATGCCAAGGCTAAGGGTTACTTTTTAGCATTGTGTCTTTGATTTTGTTTTCTTATATTTGTCCAATTTTACTCATTTGTATTACTGGTATGTGGGTTTTCTACCTCTGCATGAAGAAGATAAGTTGAGTCCTTAGAGAAGGCAATGCTGAATACTTACTCTGAGCTAGTTAATCTATACTTATGACAGGATAATTTACCCAGTTATTAATTGCTGTCTCCTATTCCTTGCCAGTGGGGGAAAAAAGGCAACTTTGTTCTCCTTTCTTCCAGGAATTCTAGGTTTCTTTTCTCATGGAATTATTAATGGTTTTGTATTTTCTAGTCTTAAACCAAAGTTGCAAGACACCTGATCTATAACCTTATCCAGGCTCTTGTGTGGGAGGGGAACTTAGTTTAGCTGGGTGTACTTGAGAAGCAGAAGACGGAGGATGTGCTGGGTTGAGGGAAGAGGAGTTGTCCAAAAGGTAGCAGTAGGTCCAAGGACTTGGGAAAAAAGATGTAGCAATGGGTCCCATGAGTGACAGATGCTATAAAAAAGTTCACTAGGAGGCATCAGGACTTCTGATGGGGAGAGCTGATTTAATGGTTAGACCACTAACCATCTAGCACATAGTCTTGGGAACTGCAGCAAAAGGTGCTGGTGTGCATACTTGGCAGAGACGTTGTATAGCCACCTGCCTTTGAACAGACCACATCGGTTTAGATGATACACATCCTTGGGGCAACTATGACGGACTCAGCATGAGCTTCTTTCCTAAGTGGTTTTCTTTTCCTCTTCTTTTTTTGTTTTTGGTCAGTGAATACCACACTAAAGAGGGAAAAAGACCACCTAATCATGATTAATATTAGATGTCTTCAAACCCTAGTAAATGGGAGTTTTGAGCTAGATTTAATTTAATTTAGAAAAATTAAGTAGTGTGGTTTTTCTTGCTTTTCAATGTTATGGAACAAATTTATACTCTGACAATTATTATTCCATTTAATCTTTACAACTCCTTGAATAGGTATTGTTATCCCTGTTCATATAAGGGGAAACTGAGCTTAGAGAATATATATTCCTTCCAGAGGCAGAGCAAAGGATTGAGAACCCCCCCTTGTACTGTGAGGAATCATTTGCATATAAATGACAGCAAATAAAATCCAACAGGTGTAAATAAAATGGGAAGTATTGACTGATAACTGAACAGTCCAGGGGTAAAGCTGGCTCCAAATAGTAGGACTGATGCAGGGACTCAATTCAATGTCATCGAGGTTCAGTTTCCACTACTTGGCCTCTGTCTGTGCTGACTTTTCTCAGGTTTTAGGTGGTAGCCAGGAAAAGTGATATCACGCTGACAACATTGTGATTTATGGGTTCCAATTGGTAATGTATCCATCCCTGAACTACTCATTGTATTGTTCACAGGGGAATAGACTGCCTCTTCTGGCGGGTCTGAGTCCCATATACACCCTTGGAATAAGAGTGTGGAGGGAAGACTACTCCACTGAGACTGAAGAAGTGGGAGTGTGGTAGTTTCTTTAGAGGACACAGACATAATGTTTCTAAAAAGGTGTATGCTTTGGTATCAAAACAGAGTAAAACAGAATGGTGTTCACTACAGCCCTCTCTAACTTCCTGATCTGTCTTCTGACCCAGAGCTTTGTCATTACTCTTTTATTATTTGAGGCTTCACCTGAAGTATGAATGCAGTCCCTCAGAAGGTTGGGGAAGAGTCTGGATGGGGCCCAGGGCAGGAATCTTGAAAAGAAGGAATCTACGGGAGACCCAAAAATCTGTGTGGATAGACCATTCCATGACCTAGGCTCTCAATTCCTAGATCTTTTCATCTCAGAGTCCTTTCCCTGTGCTCCAATCCAGCTATGGTCAAATCTGAAGTCTCATCATCAGGAGCTGCTTTGCCTTCTGAAATAACAGTCTGACATCCCACCCTCTGACTTCAACCCTCAGATTTGTCCTAAAGATGACAATTCTTCTACCTTGTGAGGACATCCATTCCATTGGTCCTTCCTCTTCTTCCTGGTCGGTGAGCAACCTCTTGCCTTCATTTCCTCCCTCTCCATGATACACTTTATGGTCACTATCCCAAATGCTTCTCAATTCATTCTCCTTTCATCATTTCTACCTGGCAAAATCCCAACTCTCTGCCTCTGCCAGACCTGCCCTGTAGGGAGCGGCTCAGCCCTATTGGATAAAATCACACATATGAATAAGCTGGTGCCACCATAAACTTACTGCCTATGAAACTTACTCATTTCTTAAAAACTCTCACTTTCTACTAAAAAGTCAACGTCTGGCACACCCCCTAGTTGATCTGCCAGACCTCCTTTTTTCAGAGGAATCAGAAGCCATCAGATGGGAACTTTCCATCGTCAAAAACCATTGCATATGACCTCCTTCCTTCCTGCCACAGTGAAAGTTGTCTCTAGAGGTGGCCTCCCTTCTCCTTTGACCTTCCCAAGCAAGGATGGGTGCCCTTATCCTCTTCTCCCCTACCAGCACTTTCCACACTAGATTGATCTGTATGTTAATTATCTGAGGGCTTGTTTACCCAGTTTACATCGCTTATTACCCAGCATCTGTTGCTTATTATCTGGTCAGAGGCTAAGTAACTTATGGGTGAAGCAATGAGAAATGAGCGGGATTCTATTGTGGGGCGGGGCCTGTGGTGGGGCGGAGCCTCAGGATTCTCCTCAGGCTTCCTAAGTGGCCACCTCCGGAGCTTCGCCTCAGGACCCAGTCAGCCTTCTTGGCTTCCTTGAGAACAGAGGTAGGCAGTTGAACTCAGCCAAGATTCCAGTGGGTCTTTTCCGGACATCCCAGAGCCCTTGCCGCTGCGGGGACCGCCCCCCCCCCTCGGTTGGCGGGGCCTGTGGGTGGGGTTGCTGTGCTCCCGACCCGCTGCAGAGAAGCCACCCAAGTTGCTAGTCCCTCCGCCTCCCTCTCCCTTCCCCTCTCCCCTCCTTCTTCCCTTTGTTTTCCAAAAGTGCATTGAATAAAGGTGTGAGGAGCTTTTTTTGAGGGTATTGTCCAGGAAAAAAGACAAGGGCAGGAAGTTTCATGTTAAAAGCCTAGTCAGTGTGTCTCTGTGTGGAACCCAGGACCAGATGAAAGCAGAGCTGTCTTCATGGTATTGGGGATACTGAAGCTCAGGAGGACATGGCCATCATGGGCCTGATCCTGGAGCAGAATCAGGGCTCGTGCCCTGACTGGTGCAGCTCAGAGGCTTGGGTGTCACCCCTGCAGACCAATTCCCAGTCGGCACATGCATGGGTGGCGGGCCAGGACCCCGATCAATGTCTCTCTCCCTCCCTTCCCTTCTCTAAAAATAAATGAAATATTTTAAAGAAAGAAAAGAATCAGGACTTAGGCACAGAGGAGAATGAACACCAGGAGGAAGTCTAGGCCCAGGCAGAGCCCACAGATACGCATCCTTTCAACTATAGGACTCCTCCCTACCAAGATCCAAGAAAAGTGACAAGTGCATCATGTGGACAGCACAGCATGCAGGCCCTAAGGACCAGAGCTGGATCAGCAGGCCAGGCAGCTCAGAGACCAGAACACACATTTCTGGAAAATTATGAGATTTAAGGATCAGCAACAATTGTTCATGCCTCCCAGGGAGCCTGTGTTCCCAGCCAAGCCCCACCAGTACAGACCAAAGATCCCAGGTACCTCCAGCTCTCCACTTCACTGTCCCAGACTCTGTCTTTGGGGCCGTGTCTCTTCTAGTCCAGGAAGTCCTCCTCCAGCCCTCCTAGGAGGGAAATTTCTCTCAAAGGAAAATTCTAGTCCATGTAGACAAAATCCATTCATTCTCATGATAGCACATCCTTCAAAGAGGATAGTCTTTGTTTCTTATAACCAAGGATGTTTATTCTTTCCAAATAGCTTTGTTTCTTCTAATAGGTTAGTGGTATCTTCTGTCTTTGCTGTTTGGGGTATATGTTTTAGAAGTCCAGAAGTCTGGACTTAGAGGAAGGAAGGAATCAAGCTTCACCTTATATTGAGATCCTGCTTGAGCTTCTGAAAGGTGACCAGGGCCCTGGAGGAAGGTCGACTATGGCACTGCACACCCACTTCCAACCCAGCTTCATTGCTCCTGCTCATATGCCATATTTTTAAAATATTTTATTTTTTCATAATACTGTCATTACAAAAAAATACAAAAAAACTACTATAAAAACATTCAGGGGCTTGTCAAAGTGAGAAAACCTAAAGACCCCACCCCAGGACCTTGCCGAAGCAGTCCTCCTCTAGTTCCTGCACTATTGGATTCTTTTACAACTCTGGGAATGGGGTGGAGTCACACAGGCATCAAAGGGCTGGAAATTTCCCACGCAGCCTCCATGAAGGGTAAGAAATAAGTAGCTTCACATATCACAAAAATGGGATTTGGAAGTTTGGGGGTGGCTAGGCCCTGAGTTCAGAGATGTGGGGAGAAACCTGTGACCCTGAATCTCTTGCTGGGGAATAGCTGCCACCTGACCCCAAAGCCCTTTCCCTTCCTGATGAGGACTGGGAGATGAAGCCTGTCCCCCATCTTTTAGCATTAATACAGCAGGCCCCCTTATCCTCCCTCCATCCTTACACACTCCTGAGAGCAACAGGGAGGAGAGAACTTCCAGCTCTGGGGGGGTCTAGGCAGGGGAGCTGTCAGGGAGCTGAGGGCCCTGTTCACCTCCCTGCCCGAAGTGAAAAGTGTCTCGTGCTCAAAGGCCTGGTTCATGGGTCATGGACCTTCCCTTTTTATCTCAACCCTGGAGAGGCACAGACAGCTCTAGGTGGGTGCTTTGTGGGTGTGAATGTGTGTGTGATAACCTTGGACACTGTGGACCTGGCGGAGGGGTTGGGGTGGGAAAGCAGTGTCCTTCTATCCCCTTCCTCCCCCCTAGGAGGAGACTGAAGGGAAGGGAGAGAAGAGGTATTAGCAAAGCTGAGAAGGGAAAGAGGGCGTGCTATGTACAGGCACAGACAAGGAATCTCTATACCTTCAAGTAGCACTCAGGTCACTCTCCAGCCACTGGAGTGGGAACTGCATTCAAAGCTAGTGATAAGAAAATTGACCCCTGGCCTGGGCTAGTTCTCCCCACCTCCCTCCCACTTCCCCAAGGCAGCCCAGCTCTGAAAGGGTCAGGGACAGGAACATTTTCCTGAAAACCAATGGGTTTTTTTTTTTTTTGCATTTTAGAAAAAGTTGCCAGTGTCCAGTGAACATCAAGTTGGGTGCACATTGAGTAGGGTGAGTGTGGGGGTATTGCTGTGGTAGACTCTGGGCTGGGTGGGGCAGAGCCTAGGAACAGGGAAGGTGCTGCTTAAGGATCTGTCGGGTCTGTGGTGTTAATCTGTCTGGGAAGCGAACTTTGAATTCAACAATGAGATCTCCCCGCTGGGTGGGCACCTTGGGGAAAGGAAGGCCCTCCCCACGGAGTCTCTTCACGGTGCCTGGCTTGATGACATCATTGCAGGGCAAAGGGATCACTCGGCCATCAATGGTGGGAATGTTCACGGTACAGCCACACAGCGCCTAGGAGAAATGAGGCAGAGAGTAATGAAAGGTGAGAGTGACTGGGAAGAGAGAAAAAAATTAAAGTGGGGAAAGAATGTCCCTATCTTCCCCCCTCATCAAACATGCAATCTGACCAAGGTCGCACCTCCTTGAGGCTAATCAGAGCACTGTAGAGCACGTTGGTACCATCTCGGCGGAAGTGTGCATGGGGCTTGTCTTTGAGCACAAAGACTATGTCTGCGGGGATGTTGTCAGGTGTGGCATCACCCTCTTTGGGGAAAGTGATCTTGGTGCCTTCCTTCCAGCCACGCTTGATGACAATGTGCAAGATCTTGTCCTCAGTGCGCACAGTTCGCCCATCAGGGTTGAGGCGCCGCCTTGTGATCTTCATACGCTTGGTGGAGCCATGGTAGATCTCCTCCAGGGACACCCGCAGCTCATGCACCACCGGTGGGTCCTGCACCTTGCGTCGAGGGTACAGAGGTTCTGGAGCTCGCCTTGGACCCCTACTCAGCCCATTGAAGCCAAAGCGGCCGAAGGCGCCAAATGGGTCCTCATCATCATCCACATCCATGTCATCTGGATCAAAACCACTGAAGGGTCGAGTAGAGCGAGTGCTGGCAAAGAAGATATCGAAGGGGTTGGAGCCACCAAAGAAGGAGGCAAAGGTGGCATGGGGGTCTCCATGGAAGGTGTAGTGAAAGGAGCCACTGGAGCCACCTGACGAACCACCGCCGGTCTTCAGTCCTGGAGGGAGGAGAAGTTAGGGATGATGTGGCTGGCCCAGGCCCCACCCCAGTCTCCTCTCTCTGCTCTCGACCTCCCCACTCATGGGCCTATAGAAAGAAGAAATCTTTAACTCCTAAAGAGAGGGCTGCCTTAATAGAGTAAGAAAAGTCTTTGGTGAGATTAATTTTTGCTTTTAATTACATGTTTAATAAAGCATAAGTTGAGGTAAAGAGGCTGAGTTATCTAATAGGTGGACAAGCTAAGACTAGAAGCCTTGAAGGATGTGACTCCAGTCCTGTAATCTCTCTCAGGTACCAATGGCCCAGATATATCTCACAGAGCCTTGAGTGGCTGGCCTGGGGTCACATTACAAGTAACATCTGGCTCCAAAGTTTTTGCTTATCTTCAAAGACACACAGGGCAAGAGGCAATTGGACAAGATTTGACCCCACAACAGGCTAGTAAGTAACCTGTCCCAAATAAGGTGAGGATACAATGCAGGAGGAGGCCCACTCTCACGCTGCTTCTAGCATAGTTTCTTCTTTCCCTGACTTCAGAACAAATGGGAAATGAGGGCCCCCAAAAGCAAGAAAGCTCATTAGGTTGGAGATGAGGGGCTACTTCTCTAGGAAAAGTTCTCAAGTGCTTTGTTCCCACATTCAGGGCTCACAATGTTGCACAACTCCAGGGGGCGCCATTCACACATTGGATAGACACAGACTACAATGGAAATGAAGCTCCCTGGAGTTATATAACAGCAAGCCCTGTATCTCATACTTAATGCCAGAGCAGCTAAAATGCATGAATGAGCTGGCACATTGTGGGTGGTGACCCCAGCTGCTCTCTCTGAAGTTAGGTCCTCTCTAAGGGACTCAGGTTCCTGGTGGCAGCCTTCCGGGGAGATGGTAGTGGTGGTAGTGGGGAAAAGAGTGGGCATAGGAAGGAGTGAGAATTGATCTAGAATATATAGGGTGGGGCCCAAGCTAGAGGAAGGGACTCTTCTTTTTGAGTCCTTTCTTTTATCTTGAATTTCAATTGGCCATGAAAGCCAGAGTCTACATTAGCCTCTTATTTCTGGGACCACAAGGGCAGATTTGGATTTCATTAGAGAGGCCAAGTGGCAGGCTATTCAGAGACTCCTGGCAGCTGCCTTTTTACCCCTTCCTTAAGGCTCAGGGTCTGTTCTTTCCTTTTATTGAGGTCTGATTACCAGGTGAGTTCGAGAAGCTTGGCAGAGCTCAGTGACAGAAGGAGGTTGGGCTAGTGACAAAAGGAAGGGGTAATTTCTCTGCAGGGATTCCTGCTTTGCCGCTACCACCCCCCTTTCAAGCCAGGAACGACTTGTCCTCAGCCAGGGCTGAGCATGGAGTTTGTGCGCACAACTGTTCTGTCTGGGTGTTGGGGAGGAGGCAGGGCGGACAGAAATATAACCCACATTTCCAAGCCTGCTTTCCCTCCCCAGGCTCTGGATGTCTCTTTAAGGTGGTGCTGCATCCTCAGGGGCCCTCCTGGGATATAGATCTGCATTAGAACCCAGTGTCTGAGCCTAGGGACTGAGCTTTGCCCTTCACTAGGCTTGGTCCTGCAGGAGGGGTGAAGTTTCCAGGTAGCTCTCTCTCAGCTCCCACCTTTTTCCTGAACAAAGGTAAGGCCGAGTGGAAGAATGAGTGCAGTTCTTGGAGAGGTCACATGGTGGCATGGTATCTGCAAGCTTCCCCCTTTCTCTGCCTCTACTTCTCCCATTCCTCTATCCCAGAGGAAAAAGAATCTTAGCTGAGAGAATACTGGGGATTCCAGAAGACGTCTGGTGAATCTGGAAGTTGGCAAGTTTAGCAGGTGAGCCAGAAAAAATGGAAGGAAGTAGTGGCATGGAGAATGAGAAGAGGGGCTGGGAGGACTGGGGTGCTTAGAAGGTAACAGCACAGAACACACAGCAAGGAAGAGCAGAGGAAAAGAACATTCTTTTGAGTGCCTACCCTGTATCGGGTACAGTGCATATGGTTAGCCTATATAATTTGAGGCAACAGTGGCAAAAGTATGGAGGAGAATGTAAAAGAAAGGTAGCTGCTATCAGGGAGGAAGGACAGTTCCTCCCGGGAGGGAGAGTCCTCAGCTGTGACTATGTCTCTTAATATAGCCTGACAGGTGCCTGTGGCTGGCGGGTGGCAGGCAGCCTTGAGGGGCAGGCCCAGAATTAGCAGCTACATCATGCCAGTGGGATGTGCTGGGAGGGGCCGCCCTCTCACAGGCTTTATTTGGGCCTTTCCTGCCACCCTGTGTGTGGCCACCAGCTACCCCAGGGACAGGGCAAGATGCCAGCAGCAGTTTCCCTGCCACTGATGGATCCTTGCCACTTCCTTAGGGAGCAAAGCTGCCCTCTGTTCTGGTGGCCAGAAGTGGGCAGGGAGGGAGCAGAGAAGGGAATGACCATCTCTTTAACTCAGTGCTTCAGTGGTTAATTCCTAGGCTGCTTAAGGGTCAAACTTTTACACTGATGAATGTAAATGCTGTCCTCCCCAAAACCATATACTTCCGTTCTCTAACCCTCCCCATCAGCCAATGAAGCAGCAGGGACTTCAGGCAGGACTAATAAGGTTGGGAGGGAAAAACAGGAGGGGGAAGGCCTCTGATTCCAAGTTCAGACCTCTCTAAGGCCTGAACTTAGGCAGGGAGAGGGGCAGAGAGGAGCAGAGAGAGGTGGGGAGAACTATGGTAAGCCAGCAGGGTAGTAGGTGCTCTCTTCTCTCCTCTGGGCATTAGTGTTAGGAACAAGTGCCTCCTTCACCCCTTTCTCAGTCTCCAGTTTCCCGCTATGAGAACTGGGTCATCCAGGACCCCAGACAAGGACAGGGGCCCAATATCAGATTGCAGCATTGCTCTCTTACCTTCCTCCCCATACTGGTCATACAGGCCTCGTTTCTTAGGGTCACTTAGCACATCATAGGCCTCTGCAATTTCCTTAAACTTCTCCTCAGCGTTGGGTTCTTTGTTCTTGTCTGGGTGGTACTTCAAGGCCATCTTCCGATAGGCTTTCTTGATTTCATCTTCATTGGCTCCCGATGGGATCCCAAGAATCTTGTAATAATCCTTTCCCATCACAGCCACTGGGCCAGCACTAGTCTCCTTGTTTCTGAAAGAAATCCAGGGCCAATCCTTGATGCCTCTATTCCCTTCTGCCCCAGCCCTGCTGCTGATGTTCCTGCAATCCCTAAAAGTCACTGTGTAACTTTCAGCAGGTCATGCCTTTTCTGTGGGCCTCTGTCTCCCCATCAGTAAACTGAAAGGTTTAGACTAGATGATCTCTTCCAGCTCTGACATTGTAGGATTTGGTGATCCTTTCCTCAGTTTCTGGGTTTTTCCAGCAGGAAGCTGGGGGCTGTGGCCCACTTCTTGGAGCTAAGCTAAGACCCACGTCCTTGAGCCAGACTGAGGATCCCCAAAAGGCCCTGCTGAGTGAGGTAGCACCATGGACTGACAGACCCACGCACAGAAGCTGGCGAAGATCAATGTACCGGGTGAGGTCACCTGAGTATCGTGGTCTCCTACGCCATGCCTCAGGCATGGTGCCCAGGCTAAGGGCAGCTGGGGCAGTGGCCTACGACTAGGGACTGGCCTGGGTCTTCAGCCAGCTGTCATGGCCAGCCAGGCTGAGTCAGGGAGTGGGTGCCTGGAGTCCTCTCTGCGATTGGAGACCCCAGGCCTCCCTGCCCCCGACCCCCAGCCTATGCTAATTCTCACATGTGACTCAGGTCAGAGGATGACTCACAGCCTTTGGAAACTGCCACTTCTAACTCCCTCATTTAGTAGGGGTTGACACTGTCCTTTCCTCAACCAGGGCAACAGCTCCCTTTACTCATTTCCCAGTGTCTACACACAAAACTGTGTGTAAAGATATGTCTGTGCCACCTAAGCACCAATATTAGTGAACAAAATCATCCCAGTGGTAGGGCCTTTTTAAACCTTAGTTGTTAGGAGACAATTGGGCACTAACCACCATTTCCTTAATACCTTCCCCACCAGTCCCTCTCTCTTACCTGCCCAGTGGTTTAGGATCTGGCCCAGTGCCAGGCCCACACTCCTCTGAGTCCCTTCTAAGCTGGATGCAGGGGCATTTGATACATGAGGAAGACATAAGGCTCTAATTTTTTCATGCTATTTTCCTGCCACCCATGTCTCTGTGGTGTATATGAAAGGAAGGGGACTTCTCTGTATCTAGAGCTGTTTGGGAGAATGGCCAGAAGCCATTCTCCAGCCCTTCTGAGATCTGGCCAACCCCTGCCAAAGCCCAGAGAACCAGTCTTTCTAGCAATGTCCTGGGGCTGGCAGCTACAGCTAAGGCCTGCTTTTCTGCCTCTTGACTACTTTAGTGAGGGGTACAGGAATGAGGGCTGTAATTAGTAAAAGGAGGCCTCAAAGCTCCAGGTAGGTAGGGACAATGGCCCTACCTCCTGCCCCCACAGGGCCCATAGCAGGTGGCTGTGTTGACTCATGGCTCTGGGAGTCACCTCACTCTGACGAAGAGAAGGCTCCAAAAAGGCGGGTCCTCCCCTTCTACCCCTACCAGCATGTCATAACTGGTGGGGGAGGCTGGGGATGGAGGAGGCAAAGAAGAAAGAGCATCTGGGGGAGGGCAGCCATTTTCGGAAGCAGCAGTAAAAGCCGTCTGGGAGGGAGCTGGGGGTGGTCTGCCATCTCTGCCTCGGCCCACACCTTCTTTCCCCTAGGGCTGGGAAGGAATTCTAGCACACCGAAAGGTGCCCCCAGAAAACTACAGCAGCTTCTAGGCAGAGGGCAAATGAAAGACTTGCCAATTCTCCCACCCTCCTCTTGCTGTCCCTACATTACCTTTTCATCCAGCCAGCTTCCTCCCGGGCACCCACCTGCTAGCTGTTCTAGACCTGTAATACACTTGCCTCCAGACACAGGGCAATCTCTTTCAGGAATTGCCTTTTTCTTCCTTCTTTCCTCCCTCCCTCCCCTACCCACAAGCCACGTGTTGGAATGACAAAGGAGCCCCATGGCATGGCACTGCCTTTGATGGAGAAAAATGGAGCGATGTTAATGCAGTGGCAGGAATAAAAAATGAGGAGAAACGGCAAGGGGACTGGTATAGGGAGGGGAGATTGTTCATACAGAAAATGAAGTACTGATGGACAAGGATGAGGTAGAAATGGAAATGGCTGAGGTAGGAGTGGGTTGCCAGTGGCTGAAGGAGGGATGTAGAGAGTGAAAATACTGGAGATGTTTGTGGAGAAGGGTTTGGACAGGAGACAAATGATAAGGGGTACACTTCATTCAAATGTATGGGTGAGGTAGGAGGCTGTTGTATGTAATGGGGATGAGATGAGGATGAGATGGAGGAAGCAAGTAGGCAATGGTGGGGGATGTGATGTGGAGAAACTGACTTGGTATGGTATGAGTGCCATTCTCCGGAGGGACTTACCGAAACTTCACAAACCCATTCAGCGTCCACGCTCGAAGTTTTAAGGGCTCCAGCTGAATTTTAAACATCAAGCTGGCTAAGAAGTCTTCTCCCCAGAAGTGTGGGAAGCTCCGGAAAGCTCCTCGGGCCTGTAGTGGGGTTGCTGCTGGGGATGGGCAGGAGAGCACTGTGCGCTTAAACATGCCCAGCCCAGCCCCTCACCTCTGATGGCTCCACTGGAGCCTGCTTGGAAAGCTGCAGCTTTGGAAGTCACCTCCCGGGTTCTCAGAGGCACTTGCCCATCAAGGCCTGTCCAGTGCAGCAGGATCTGGACCTGATCCCCAGGTGTGGAGAGTGAAGTGATAGGGTCCAGAGGCCACCTGCTCTCTGGTGCAGCAATGTCTGGCTGATTGTGAATGGCTGTATGACAGTGTGACAGTAAGGCTGGCAGTGCGAGCTTGTGCCGTGAGTGGCAGCGTGTGTGGCAGCGTGTGTACCTATGACAGGTGTGATTGTCTGTGAGGGCCTGAGAGGCACTGAGTTCCTCTTGCCTCTCTCTCTCTCTTGGGGAGGACCCGACCCTGAGCCCCAAGAACCTACTCAATGAAGTCACTGATGGGGAGTCTCCTCCCTCATGGATAGGAAGGGAGAGGCGGGGCAGAGCTGAGCCCCGCCGGGACAAAAGGCGCGGCGAGGAGGGGAGGAGAGAGGGAAGGAAGAGAGGGGAAGGGGGGAGAGGAGGGGGCCTGGGCGGAGGAGGGGGGGTCGGTGATGTCACCGGTGCTGGCTGGCTGGGCCGTCTCAGAACCGCCTCCGCCCGGTGGAACCCAACCCGACCCGGCTCGACCAACCTTCCCCAGGCTCAGATGCTGAATGCCCCCTGTAAGAGGGTCGCGGACAACGAATGCCTTGCAGAGTCCAAGACCCCGCACCCCTACGACAGAAGAGCCGATGGGCCCTCAGTGTCCCAACCCCCCTGACACCAGGACCCCTGGCTTCGCGACGCCCACACTCCCAGGACCCCCGAATCCTAGCTCGGCTCCCTCACCGGTGAGGAGCGGCGGGTGCCTCCGCGGTCCGTCAGACAGCCGCTGCCCCCTCCCCCAGCTCCGGCTCCGCCGCCTCCACTCTGGACAGGAGTCGCCTGCCCGCCGGCCGCAGAAAGCGGGCCCGGGAACCCGCCCCCACGGCTCCGCCTCCGCGCTGCCTATTGCGCCGTCTTCCCGTCACTCAGTTAAATCTCGATTGTAATTGGATAGCTTTCTACAAGTGGCTTAGTGATAGCCGCCCATTCCCCCACCTCTGTCACCCGCCACACGCGCACACATTCCGGGCAGTGATTGGTATGGCGCTGATTGGTGAATTCTGGGATCAGTCAACCACACCTCTTTGCTATCTCGTCATGTCATTGGTGAAAAGGACAGAGGGCGGCAACTCCACGCGCCCTTTGATTTTATTGGTTAGTCTGTGGGGCTCAGACCCGAACCGGGAGGTGGGGTGCACAACTATATTAGTCCAATCTCCGGTTTGGGAAGGTGGGACGTACTGGCCACCGCTGGAATCCCGGGAGAGAACCTTCTGGAACCTGTGCAATATCAAAGGGAGCCTTAAAGGAAAACTGCACCCACCAGTTGGCAGTGACTCTGGGAGGTTTCCTCTCATCAAGGGGGGGGGGGCGGGGCGGGTAAGGGAGAGAGTAGTGCACTTTGGGAGGTGTAGTCTCTGGACTAGGGTCAAAAGGTCACCCATTCTTAACCTGTCTTCCATCGAACTGTGAACTGACTTCGACTTGACCTGATTAGGTTTACCTTACCTTGACCCCTAGGTGGCCTGATGTGACCTAACTAAATTTCAAAACAGGCCCTGGTAGACTGCAGAATTTAAGTGTTCTTCGGTGGCCTCGTTTGTAACCTGGTAGTCCTCCCCAGCTCTAACACCTCCGTGCTTCCCTTTCTGAGTTCCCTTTTCATTCTGTATAATCCCCACGTCCCAGCTCCCTCATTAGCAGCTCCTTCTCAACAAGCCCCACATCCCCCTTAAAGTTCTCTGTATAATCTTCCATCCTACTTCCCCTTTGAATTCCTATATTTTAGCGCCCCCTGCACCCCCTTCCTTTTTTCATCTTCTCTGCCCCATGTAATCTCCAGTCTTTACCACAAGATCTTCTGGTTTATCCTATTTTTAATTTTTTCTGCTCCCATGCCCTCTCCTATTCTAGGTCCCCTCTTTAACCCTTCATCTCAGCTCCACATGATCTTTCTTAACACCCTCAGAATCTCCCATCTCAGTCTTACCCCCTCCCCCACTCCCCATTAAATCTCAACCTAGTGTCCCCGCTGTTCAGAGCAGGCAGGGCTGCGGAGGCGGCCTCCAGCGGAAGCCGACGCTTGAGCAGACACGGTGCCTGGTGCCTGGCGCCCACGTCACTGTCTCCCAGGCCCATCTGTGCTAGAGGGAATGGGGGTGGGGAGGGAGTAACCCTCCGGGTGAAGAGGGGGAAGGAATTCTTGGAGGGTTTGAGGAGAAAGAAAGGGCTAGAGCAGAGGTTCTCACTTCTCTTTCTTGGTCATTTTTTCAGAGACATATTTGGGACACCCATGAGGTCATGCAAACTGGATAGAGATGGAAACTGAGGATGGGAGAAAATCAGTATCTAGCCAGCAGAGCAGAGCAGAGTGTGAGAGAGGCCTAGGGGTCCTGAGGTCAGGTCTGCGTAGCACTACCTGTCTTCTTTCTAGTACTCACTCTGGGGATCCTAGGTGTAAAGGGGTGTGAAGTGTGTAGAAAGGAAAGGAAATGGGATAAGAGGAGGATGGAGAGGAGGTTGGGTTTGGGGGATGAGGAGAGGAGGGAGGGAAGATGGGATGAGGGGAATGAGGAGAAGAGGGGAGGAGGGATTGGGTAAGAGGTAAGGAGAAGGGGGAGTCGGGAACAAAGAATGGAAGGGATGGGAGATGGGGTGAGTAGCAAAAGGATGGGAAAGAGATGTGGGGTGAGGAAGAATGAGGAAGGGAAGGGAGGTGGGGTCACGAGGGAAAGGAATAGTGTGACATAGAGACGGGCAAGGTAGGATAAGGGGGCCTAGGACTGGTGCTGGCTCCTTAGATCTGGGGGCTCTTACTCCCCTGTCTCCAGACTCATGGGGGCCTGGTTTGTGGGTGGCTCTGCTTCCTCCTATTTCAGTTGTGTATTTTGCCTCCTCCAGTCTTGCCTGTGCCAACACGGAGGCAGAAAGTTTAGTCACTGGCCCTCAACCTGATCCCTGCAAATGCTTAAGTGTAGGTTTAGACCTTTGAGAGTACAGGGCTGTGCCTTCAAGTATTGGTGGCACAGACTCCATTGTCTGCTGGGCTCCCTGTTGCTGCCCTCTGTCCCACTGCCCTGGGTGTCAGGTGTGTGTGTAAGGAATGAGGGTGACACTTAGGGCAGAAGAATGCGGGCTCAGGAGGCAAGACTGTCGACCTTGTGAGGCACCTGTGCCTCATTTCCTTCGTAAAATGGGGATGTACAATAGCGGTACATCTTAGGGTTATTGTGGGGGTTAATTAAGGTAACTCATAATGCACCTAGTTCTGAGCTTGGCACATAGTTAACACTTACAAAGTTAACTATTACTCTGAATGTTCACAGATAATCTTGGTGTGTGGGTGCATCTGTAAATGTTTGATTCTGATTGGGAGTTATGTCTGTAATGTAATTTGTAAGAGTCTATCTGTGTAATTATTTTTGTGTGGTGGTGTGCCTGATTCTGTGTTATTTGCTGTAGGTATATGATTTTGTGTTAGTGTACACATGTGATTAAATGACTGTGTAGGCCTGTGTCTACATGGCAGAGTGGATGAAGTGTGGCTTCATGGCTGTTGTCACACTGACATCTTGTCTGCTGGTGTCTGCATGCATGTGTGATCATGTTAGTTGCAAACACCCCACTCACCCTCCCTCCCCATGGAGACATCTCCATGGAGACATAATCCTAGGTGTCCCTCATTTCCTCACCCTGAAGGAACCGGAACCTGGGGGCATGGGTTGGGGTGGGTACCAGTGAGGAGGTGTTTAGACAGGAGCACATGTTCCGTCCCCGACTGCCTATGGGAGGGGGAGCCTGCAATCTTGTACATATTCTGAAGGCTCCAGAGGAAGTGTTCCCCCTCCAGCTCATTCTCAGTTCCCTGTCTTGTCACCATGGCAGCAGTTGCCAGGGGCTCCCACGGTTACTAAGATCTGGATGTGGGAGGCTGCCAGGCACTGTTGCCAGTAGAAACAGAGAATCCTGGGGGAAAGGAAGGCTGGCTACTCCCACAACTGCTAGCTCTCTGCAGTGAGAGGGCTAGCCCTTTGACCTTTCCTGTCCCCAAGTTGTATGTATCATTTGTGACAGTACTAGAGTTGGTGGGGACATGCTTTAACAGGAAGCTATGACTGGAATACTGAGATCTACCTTCTGAGGAAAAGGAGCTCTAGCCTGAACATTACCATCTTTAAGTTTAGGAGGCCCTTAGAAATTAGTGACCTCCTCATTTTGTTCCCCATACCTTGTATTTCTCCCCTGGCAACATCTCTGCTTGATTTCTCCAGTGGCTGGTGCTTATTGCCTAATGCCTTCACCTGTATTGGAATGCTACGTTGACCTCATTACTCTGGATGCACACTGACTTCTTCGTGAGGTCAGTCTCTTAACATCTCACCTGGGTACATACTTCATGCTTGCACCTGAGCCCAGATTTCAGTCCCATTCTGAGTCCCAACTTTGGCCTCAGCCTGAGATACTGACCTTATTAGTCTTAGTCCTGAACTAGATAGTTCCCCACACCCAACCTCAGCCTAAGCCCTCCTCCTAGGCATGGATCAGCCCTCATCTTGATTACAGATATTTGAATTCATCTGAAGATTCCATTCTGATCCTGTATTATGACTAGACACTGAACAATGATCTAACCTCCCTGGTATTTGCCTGGCATCTCTCTGCTTGTGAACCTACACTGACTAGTACCATAAGGGTGAAAGAAGTCATTTCTTGCCTTGAGAGGGCAGTGCTAGGAATGACCGGCAGAGGGCGTGCAACATCAGGTTCTAGAGGCAAGCTTCCCAGAGCCAACCTGGGAAGGAGATATCAGGGGTATTGAGACCTTGGATCTTTTCTTTCAGGTCAAGACCCAGAGCTGCAGGCACAACAGATGGTCTAAAAGGTTGACCTAAATAAATTAAAGTTCCATCACTTCTCTGCCTTTTGGCCAAGATCAAGTGTAAATAAATTAAAGTTCCTAATCCAGTGATTTGGAGGTCATGTGGGTTCACGCAGTCCTGGATCTCCCTACAGCTCAGCAGGGCTCAGGGTTGGGCACTCCCTGAAGGTCCTTAACCATTTACTGGCATCATAGGTGTCAAAGTATCCCCCTTCCCTAACTCAATGCTTCTTTTTTTAAAAAAAGATATTTATTTATTTACTTATTTATTTTTAGAGGGGAAGGGAGAGAGAAAGAGAGAAACATTGATGTGTGAGAGATATATCGATCGGTTGTCTCTTGCACATCCCCAAGTAGGGACTTGGCCTGAAACCCAGGCATGTGCCCTGACTGGGAATCAGACCAGGGACCTTTTATTTCTCAGGCTGGTACTCAATACACTGACCCGCACCAGCCAGGGCCCAACTCAACCCTTCCATCATATGCTTATACAGCTTCACTACCTTCCCTGGTATCCAGTTATCTTTTGGTCCTATTGAGCCTCTACTCCACCTTTGGTCTTGGCTCTGTGCTTGAGGTCATGTCGACCTTATAGGTCCCATCTGCCAGGTATCAGCCTCTGCATCCCTCAAGTCTGCTTGCTCCTCCCTAGGGTGAATACGCCTCAGGCCTTCATGGGTTCTTCTGGTTCATTCTGTTCCAGGCACTAAGACCATGTTTCCCTGCTTGGTTTTGGGTTTACAAAGTCTGATTTAGCTTTTGCATTACCTGGCTTAGGTTTTTTTCCCCCTATTCTTTCTCCATTTTTTTTTCTCGAGATGTTTTCTGCGTGGTTTGTCTCCTCAGTCATTTTCCAAAGGACTCTGAGAAGCTGTAGGAATATGCAGGCACAGATTCAAGGCCCAGCTTTCTCTCCAATGTTGTGGAAAAGGACTGTACATCACAGGGCAGAGTGCTATGCTCCCCTATGCCACCTGGACAGAGC